CCCCTGGTCTCAGAGCCTGAGAATGTGGGAACTGTGGCTATAGCAGCAGTGGAGGGAAGGGGGCCCCTGCAAAGCCATCCCCCAAATAGCTTCTGCCTTGGTGGTAGGCACAGTGTGCCTGGGACCCCTCCCTTAGTGGCAGCCTGGAACCCCTCCCTGGTGTCAGTACTGTGCCTGATGCCTGCCCCTTCCTCAGGGCCTGTACGACATGCACATCCAGCTACAAAGTGTGCCCTTCCTGCACTGGGAAGCCCCAGTTACTTCGCACTCGCTCACTGCCAGGTACCACCTTTCTCCCTGTCTTGGTTTAGGTTGCAGGCCTTACAGGCCTGGAGCTTCCTTTCCACACTTAGGTTGGGGGCGGTGAGTGGCGCTGACCCTCTGGCAGGGGGGATGTGGGCACCCAGGAGCAGGGAGGAAGCCATCCACCTCTGCAGATGTCTGGGCAGTGCTGTCCAGGTGTTGGGGCTGCAGGCACCACCCAGGACTGGCTCTCCCAGGGCAGCACCTGGGCTTTGTGCCTCCAGCTTCCTACATCCCTTCTCCTGGCTCACTGGGCCAGCAGCTTCATGCCTCTTGAACTTCATCTTTGGTGTGAAGACAGACCTTCAGGAACCCCCGTTAACACATGGTTCGTGACCATGTGGCCAGCAGTGGCTGAAGTGTGCTCTCTCCCACAGGGAGGTGATGAGCACGCCGGTCACCTGCCTGCGGAGGAGGGAGAAAGTGGGCGTCATCGTGGATGTGCTTAGCAGCACGGCGTCCAATCACAACGGGTTCCCTGTGGTGGAGTCCACCGACGATACCCAGGTACCAGGGCCTGGGCAGGTGGACCTGGGTCTGCTGCTGTCCCACAGGAGCCAGGGGCCTCAGGCCAGCTCCTGCCTCCCCACCTCAGGGAACCCGTACTCTTCCCCATGTGCCTGTCAAGTAGGGCGTGTTGGGCAGGTTTGGTTTGTAGGGACATAGAGACCCCATGTCTGGGTTTATGGTAGGAGCCAAGTTACACCGCTGTGTGAGCACTGTCCCCATAGGTAGGTTAGCGATATGCCCACATATCTCATGCTCATACCAAACTGTACTATCAGCGTGGCTGCCTGTGCCTTTTGTCAGGAGAGGCCTGACGGCATGTGTGGCCCACACAGTACCATGCTCCCGAAGGCCTGAGATGAATTTTGTCAGGGCAGGTCTGCATCTCACCCCAGCACATGCTGCAAGCCAGGCACTTTGTTCCTTGCTCTGCATTGTGGGTGTTTGGGGATTAACGAGCTTGTGCAGGATAATGCCTTTGGCAAGGCCAATGCCAGTAGACAGTGACTGTACATTGATGGGGAGTGTGATGGGGAACCTGATTAGAGCCAAGGTCCCTGAGCAAGCGTCCTGGAACTGCTGCTCAGACACTGCCTGCCCTCCAGTTCACACCTCAGCTTTCCGCAGGGCCTGCAGCTACGCAGGCAGGGTGATAGGTCTTAGGCTCTGCCCGCAGACAAGACCGTCTGTTGTCTCTTTCCTGCAGTCAGCCCGGCTCCAGGGCCTGATCCTGCGCTCCCAGCTGATTGTCCTCTTGAAGCACAAGGTAGGCTCCTCAGTACCTCTGGGTGGTGGGAGATGCCAGGCTGGGTGTTGGGGTTCTGACATGCCCTGCCCACTGCCCATTACCTGCCACCCGCAGGTGTTTGTCGAGCGGTCCAACAGGGGCCTTGTACAACGGCGGCTGAGGCTGAAGGACTTCCGGGACGCCTACCCACGCTTCCCCCCAATCCAGTCCATCCATGTGTCCCAGGATGAGCGCGAGTGCACCATGGACCTCTCCGAGTTCATGAACCCCTCCCCCTACACTGTGCCCCAGGTGTCTGATTCCCACTTGCAGGGACTTGTGGCCCTCAGTGACCTGCCAGGGAAGGGCTGGGATGGGGTTTGCAGAAAAGGGGGAGGAGCTCTCTCCTTACACTCAGGACAAGGATTTGGGGGTGGGTATGGCTGTGGAGGCAGACACCAGCGACATAACTGAGGCAGGGTGGCTGGCTGGCATGGAGGGGAAGGGGTGCTTTAGGACACATCTTGACGTCCTGGCGGCAGCAGGTGTGATAGAAGACAGCTGACCCTGAGCTTGGTGGGTCCTGCCCCTGCTCTTGGCTGGGGCCTGGGCTGGCAGGCAAGCTGAGGCCCTGACCACATTGCAGGAGGCATCTCTCCCTCGAGTGTTCAAGCTGTTCCGGGCCCTGGGCCTCAGGCACCTGGTGGTAGTGGACAACCACAATCAGGTGAGTAGCCAGGGAGGGCAGAGGACCCCTCTGCCTCCTGACCTTCCTGCCCTAGGCACAGATGCACAGTTGCTCCCAGCTTCTGCATGACCGCTTCTGCCAGGACCCAGACTGGCAATATGCCTGCCTCCGGGTCTCCCCCAAGCTGTGTTGCTCCCCCACTTGCTTCCATAGGGGTGGGGTGGGGCCACTGGATTCCCATAACCTGTCTTTGTTCCCACAGGTAGTTGGGCTGGTAACCAGGAAAGACCTGGCCAGGTACCGGCTTGGGAAGGGGGGCCTGGAGGAGCTCTCACTGGCCCAGACATGAGACCCTGGCCCTGGCACCTCACCTGGGGTCCTCATCTCACTCCTCGGGCAGCAGCAGATCCAGCAGACCTCGGGGATGGCCCAGCTGGTGTGTGAGCGTGACCGTCGCATGGGCACCTCGTCAGTGTTCCCCACCCTCCCCCTTGCCTCAGCCCCTTGGATGTCACTCTCCACCCTCCTGTTTCTTCACCTTCAGGGACCAGATGTTTGTGCAGATGCTCGCTTCCTGAGAGCCAGTGAGAGGCTGCATGTGCGTGTGTGTGTCTCAGTGTGTGTGTCTGTTCACATGTGTGTGAGACAGCAAGTGAGCTGGGTCCTGTGGATTTGAGTGCTGCAGGCCCACAGGGTGGGGCTCCACCCCTGCTTCTCTGCTCCTCGTTACCTTCAGTGCTGGCCCAGAAGGACCACACCGCCTGCACACTGCCAGCTGGAGGCCTCGGTGATGTGAGGCTGCAGCAGAGGCCTTTGGCCTTGTTCCCACGTCTGAGTTTGTGGCCGTGAGGCGATAGGCCTGTGCAGCTGGGACCTACCTGGGCAAAGGCCAGCTGGATACCCAAGGCAAGGGCTTGGGGCAGCAGGACAGCCCTGAAGAGCAGACTCTGAAGCAGGCTCCATCGGGAAGCTGGCTATTCTTCCGGACTCACCACATATGCCCCTTGGGCCACAACCCCACTCTGGATGCCATGGGCTCTGTGATGGAGGCTTGGCCAAAGGAGAGCTGAGAACCACCCATGGGCCTGAACAGTCCTATCACACTTACCACCCCAAGTCCTCTGGAACTGGAGTCCAGATGAACTGCTGTTGCCACATGTGGACAGCATCTGGGAAGGCGGATCTTCTCAGCAGGGGGACTGGGGTGGTGACAAAGACCTCTGACGACCCCTGGCCCACAGTGATATTTCTGGGCAGCTCTGATTCTGGTCCTGGCAGGTGGGCTTTGGGATGTGCTGGTGAGCCTGGAGCAGGATACTATACCCCTCCAAGCACCTTTCTGAAGGTGATTCCCAAGTCCCCACCCCATCTCTGAGGAAGTGATTCAGAGGCCTTTTGGCGAGCTGGTGGCTGCTGCGCCTTGGTTTTAGCCCCTTTCAAGGGGGGTTGGGCTTCGAATCACAGGTCCGATCCTGGTGGGGAGTCTATGGGAGGAACAGTGTCCAAATGTGGGGGGTCTGAAGGGAGAAATAAAGGAATTGTACCCAAACAGCCAGTGCCAGCTTCCTGTTCCTGCTCAGCATGGACCACAGTCTGGCAGCCTGCGATTCCAGGGCCATGGGGTGGGGGTATCTGGGATGAGGCCCTCAATGTATGGTGTTGGTCAGCAGCACCGCAGTGGGGACATCCCTGGGAGGGAGATGCAGGTGAGAAGCCCAGAAACCTGCAGGTGGTGTGTAGCTGTGGCCCCCCTGCTGCCTCATTCCAGTGTCTGGCAGTGTTGCTCCTGGGTCCCCTGCAGACTGTTGGGAAGGGCTTCTCCTCAGAGGCCCTTCTGTCTGCAGTGGCCTGAGCTGCTCGGCCGTGAGCCGTGTGATGTAGCTCGCCCTAGAGGGGAGGTTGAAGCGTTCTTGTCACAGGGAAGCCCCCAGCCAGCCCTCGTGGGCAGGTCTGGGTGACACATGGGTAGGGCGAGGGGCTGGAGTCTGTCCACACTGGCCTGAAGTGAGGCACAAAACACCCTTCAGCCTTCTAAGACTTGGTGTGAAGAAAGCAAGGAGAGCATTTCACTCCCTTTGTATTGAGTACAGGTTGAAATGATAGGTGAACTGGGTTAAATAAAATGGACTTGAAATTAACTCCACCTGGGTGCTTGCTTACTGTGGCTGCTAAGAAAGTTAATGTCATGGGTGCTGCCCACACCTGTGGCAACACCCTGTTTCTTTTGGATAGTCCCTTGGCGCCTGTTTCCTCGCAGGTCTGGCTGTGGTCCGTCTGGGGATCCCAGCCTTACTTCTCTGGTTTAATGACCATGGGGCCAGCAATTGCTTCTTGGCATCCCTCCTGCCGAGCCAGGCCAGAGGTCTCCTGACCCTAACCTCTGGCTGGCTGAATGGTGCCCCCTCAGATCCTTCCAGAAACAGGCAGTTGGGGAGACCTTGCAGGGACAGGAGAGTTGAGGGCTCAGGTTCCATTGGCAGTTGGGCCAGGAAGTCACAAGGTTCTGGTGAGGAAAAGAAGATTCCAGAAGAGCCCCTGCTGCCCTGCGTACCTTGGTATTGTCTAAGGAGGTAAGATGTGAAGATAGGTGCTCAACCCTTCACACCCCACGTGTTCCCCCAAGGTCCTGAAGTCTTCAAGATCTGACTTCCCTGCCTCCCACCAGCCACTCCCCACCCCAACCACCCAGTTTCCAGCTCTGGGCAGCCTCTGGGTGCCAGGCCCAGGACCTCTTAGCAGTCGCCAAAGCCAAACACGGGCTGCTGGTGAAGCCAGATGGGTGAACCAGGTGCCAACTGGGGCAGGAGCCAGGAGGACAGCCCAGGGAGGGGCCTGCATAGGGGTGTGGACCACAGCGGAGAGCACTGCTTTCTGATCCCCAGGTCTCTTCACAGCCTGGGGGCTCCCTCTAGAGCTGGCCGGGCAGGCCACTGTCCCATTTCTGCTCCCCAGTGCTGTGTCCTCAGGTGGAAGAGCGGGACACACCTCTGAGCCCAAGCTTTCCGTTGAAGAGCAGAAAGCAGAGCCTTCTCTAGGCTGGGCCCTGCGACTCAGCAGAATGAGCCCTTGAGCTCGGTAAGCACACTCAGTGACAGTTGCACTGATCCTGGGTCCCTGTTACCCTAAGGTCCATCTGAGACCCGGCATCCCTTGTCAGCCCAGAAGGCCAAGTGGCGAGCCCAAAGGTGTCTTCTTGCAGAGCTGGCTGATAGCAAATCCTCATCTGGGGCTTCGCCCCCCTCTCAGCTAAGCACGATCACTCTGGAGGACCTGGGGCTCCTCCTGGAAGAAGGGCTGGCCAGCCCTGAGCCCCTGAGTCTGGAGATCTCGGAGAGGTACAAGCCCAGCCGCCTGGCGTCCACCACTTCTGTCCCAGAGCAGGACACCCCCAAGCGCTGGAAGCAACTGGAGCAATGGTGAGCCCCGTGCAGAGTGGAGCGGGAGAGCCACATGTCAGCCCCATGGAATGTGTGCCCACTCTGCCTGCTTCTTGTGCTGGACAGGGTGGCCGACTTGCAGGCCGAGGTGGTGTCCCTGCGGGGACACAAGGACCACTGTGAACGTGCCACACGGAGCCTGCTACAGGAGCTGCGTCAGGTGCAGGCCAGTGTGCAGCTGCAAGACTCAGAGCTGAGGAAGCTGAAGCAGGAGGTGCAGCAGGCAGCTTGGGCCCCTGAGAAGGAGGTCCTGGAGGTGAGACACCCCGGCTGGGAGGAGCGCATTCTCACCCACAGGACAGGCTTCCCATTCCCGGTGTTGGGGCAGCTGCTTCCTGGGCCCTGAGCCCAGCTCAACCCCTGCTGCCCAGGTGGGAGCCCAGAGAGTCCCCATGGGCTGTGTCTGTGCTGGTCAGGCTGTGAGGCCCAGGCCTGCACTCAGCACACACCCTCCTCCTTGCAGTTCCCCAGCCCCCAGAACCAAAACAAGATGCAGGCACTGGACAAGAGGTATCCCCACATTTGTGGCACAGGCCTTAGCAGGAGGGAAGGGGTTTGGGAGACCAATGGCTGGTGCCAGACCCATCTGGGCATCAGCCACAGGGTTTTGTTTCCCCAATTAGTTGTCTTGCCCAGGTAAGCAGTAAACACCCATAGCAGAACTCAAAAGGTCTGGGTTTGTGTGGGCCTCCGCAGCCTACAGAGGCCTGGGAAAGGGGTGGGAGGCTTGCTGCTGGGGCCCTTGGCCAGGTTCCCAGGCCCTGAAGGCTGCCCAGCCTCCTCTGGGCTTCTCCTGGCCACAAGGAGGGTGGGCTGGGCAGGCCCCAGGCAGAAGCGGCTCTTGTGTGCCAGGTTGGTGGAGGTCCGGGAGGCCCTGACCCAGATCAGGAGGAAGCAGGCACTTCAGGACTCTGAGCGGAAGGGCACCGAGCAGGAGGCGATCTTCAGGTGGGCACCTCTCTCCTCCCTCCTCAGGGGCTGGTTCTGGACCTGCTGTGTGTGGCCCTGTGGGAGTCACTAAGGCAGGGCAGGCGTTCACTTACCCTTGGTGCCAACCTGTGGATTGATGGGGGAGCCTCAGACACCCTGTGGATCCTCTGTGGGAAAAAGAGACTTGAGCTCAGGAGTCCCCAACCCTTCCCCTTTCCCATAGGTCACACTTAGCAGGGCCCATCTCTCACCATCCCAGGTGAGAACAGGGAAGCCAGCATCTTGCCCCCTCTTTGTGTTTACTCAGGTGAGCTATGCACCTCCTGCGCCTAGGCCTGTAGGTCAGCCTAGGTCCCCCCAGATGCAGGGCTTGGCCTGAGAAGGACTCTTGAAGTTCATGGGCCCCGCCAGCCTCCCTGTAGCTCCCCAGCAGGCCCTCCGGCTGGCCTGGTTGCTGTAATGTTTGGCCGGTACTCCTAGGTTGACCAAGTTGTCCGAGAACCTGGAACAGGAGGAACAGAACCGGGAGGTGGCCTGCAGTGCTCTGCAGAGGAGCCAGGAGGAGGCCAGCCAGAGGGTGGACCATGAGGTGGCCAGGCTGCAGGTACCCAGGCAGGATGCTGGCATCTGGGCAACCAGCTGGGCTGACAGTGAGAGGGTCCATCTGGAAGAAATCCCTGCTCTCCCGGCCCAGCCTGTCTTTCACCTTACAGGTTCTTCCCTCGGCTCCAGCTATCTTTTAAGTTCTCTCCATGTGATCAGACTTGGTGATCCCCAAGTCCTATGCTGTCTAATACAGTGGCCACTAGCCACAGATGGCTCTGTATATTGAAGTTACCTAACATTTTAGACAATTTAAAACTCAGTTCCTCTATCACATGAGCCAGATTTCAGAGGCTCAGTGACCACATGTGGCCAGTGGCTGCAGATTGGGCCTCACTGAGATGGAGTACCATCATCACAGAAAGTTTGTTGTATTAGCACTCTCAGCCACTGCTCCCCCTCCCCTTTCTGTGCAACTAGCACCCAAATCAAGAAATAGAATGCCGTAGTCCGAAGCCCTTTCTGGCCATTTTCAACCTTGGTGATTCCCTCGTGCGCAGGGGAAGTTACCTTCCTGAAGACGCACCTCCCAGTGCTCCTACTCCTGGGCTGGTGCAGTTCCCTCTCCTGCATGGGGCCCCTCAGGAGGTGGGTCAGGGGATTGGGCAGCCTCTTCAGCTCTGTAAATAGAGACCAGGGACTGCGCCGCACACAGGGAGGCCCCAGCTGCTGCCCACATAGCTCGGCTGCTCAGCTTCAGAAGTGTTTCCCTCCCACTGCCCTTTGGGAAATTAGTGTCTTGGTTCCCTCAAGAGGCTGCTTGCTGCCCACTGGCCAGGAGCTTCAGCAGCACTGGGTAGTATGACAGTCACCTGGTAGGATGCCTGCGTTTTCCCTAAGCCCACTCTAGGGCCAGGGTCTACAAGCTAGGGCCCATACCTGGTTTTGTCAATAAAGTTTTATCGGCACACAGCCACTCCCATTCGTTTACTATTGTCCACAGCTGCTTTTGCGTTGAAACCACAGAGCTGAGGAGCTGTGACATAGACCTCGTGACCCATAAACCTGAAACATCTACTCTCTGGTTCTTTACAGATAATTTGCCCAGCCCTACCCCAGGTCACCTTGCATGGCAAGGAGGCTGGCAAGGGCTGGGGCACACCTGCCCTGTGGGCTATTGGAGTTTCCCAGAGGGCTCTGCGGCATTGGAGAAGGTGCCTCCTCCCAGAGCCCTGCCTGCCCTGTGGGTGTGTGAGGCAGGGAGACAGGGCCAGGCTGGGCCTTGATTCCCCCATGTCCTGTACCCTCAAGACCCTTGGTGCAGCAGGAAGGGAGCTGACAGGGAGGAGAGAGAGATGGGAAGGGCCCCTACCTGGGCCTGGAGGACAAGGGCAAGGGGTGTGTGTGTATGAGTGTGCACATGTGCATGGGTGCACTATGTTCATGGGTGTCCTCGTCTACATGAGTGCACATGTGTGTGCATGTTTGTGTGCATTTGCACATGTGTGCACAAGTGTGTGGTCACACATGCACTTCACCTCCCTTCCAGAGGCTCTCAGCTCTGGGTGTGGTTTGGTGGTAGCTGCTACGCCTTCTTCCCTGTGTAGCATCCATTGGTCACTATTGTGGCCACTGAATGTGTTCTAGACCTACACGAGCTTGGCCTGCAGACCCTTCACAACCCCTGTGCCTGGCCCTCTGGGAGGACATGTGACCCCTGCCTTCCCTGCCTTTCTTCTTAAGGAGGGTGTGGCAGGCTCAGCTTTGCGAGGCTCGGGGACAGCCAGGGACCCAGACCTAGAGCCCTCTCTGATGGAGACGGTTGAGCAAGAAAACAAGTCTGAGGTGGCATGGTGGGTGGGGGGGTAACTGTGGGAAGAGGGCACCCAGCAAGGTAGCAGCACGGTGCCCATGTGCCCCCCTCCACAGGCCCAGGTGACCAAACTGGGCGAAGAGATGAGCCTTCGCTTCCTCAAGAGGGAGGCCAAGCTGTGTGGCTTCCTGCAGAAGAGCTTCCTGGCCCTAGAGAAGGTGGGAGCTTGCGGGCTGGTGGGGCTCTGCTGTATCCCCCGCGCCCTGGCTCACAGCAATGGAGGGCGTCTCTCGCAGAGAATGAAGGCCTCAGAGAGCACGCGGCTGAAGGTGGAGAGCAGCCTGCGGGAGGAGCTGGAAAGCAGGTGGCAAAATCTCCAGGAGCTGGCCGAGGAGCGTGTGCGCGCCATACGGGGGCAGTGCAAGGTGGGCAGCTCGGGCTAGGCACAAGCCGGGCGCCTGGTGGGGGACCGCAGGTCTCAGGGGCACCTCTGCACCACAGCAGGAAGAGTGCTACCTCCTGGAGCAGTGCCGGGGCCTGGACAGGGCTGTGGTCCAGCTGACCAAGTTTGTGCGCCAGAACCAGGTGTCGCTGAACCGCATCCTGCTGGCCGAGCAGAAGGCCCAGTAAGTATCCAAACAGGGCAGTGGGCAGAGAACAGGAGTTGTCAGGCTGGGTGGATGGAAATAGCCCCTCTCCCCAGACCCCAGCATCCTGAGCCCAGTCAGGTGCCTGGGGCAGAGTAGCCACCCACCCCAGCCTGCCCCTCATGGGGGAGCTCAGCGTGGCAGCCATGGACGTAGTCCTGTTTTAGTGGCCCCTGTGATGACATTCCCATCCTCTGCTCCACTGGGTTTCTTGGAATGTTCTGAAGCCAGCAGCTGGGCTCTCCTCTCTGGCCCAGCTCTGAGGGGTGGGCCAGCCTCAGCTGAGAGACAGTCTTTCTCAGTGGCACCAACCCCCAGGGACACCAAGGGCCACTTGGAGGAAAACCAGGCTGGGGAGCTGGCTGCCTACTTGCAGGAGAACGTGGAAGCCATGCAGCTGGCCAGCAAGCTGGCCCGACAGGAGACGCACAGCACACTGGAGTTGGTGAGGGCTGCAGGGCTGAGTCAGGTCTCCTTGTGGGATCCCCCACCTGCTTAGCACCCACACTCAGCCCTACCTCCCACAGCTCCAAGAGAAGAGCCAGGCCTTGGAGGGGTCCGTGGCTGAGCTGATCAGACAGGTGAAGGACCTGAATGACCACTTCTTGGCCCTGAGCTGGAGGCTGGACCTGCAGGAACAGACGCTGACCCAGAGGCTGTGCGAGGTAAGGCTGCTGTGCTGCCTGGGGGCCAGGCAACCTAGACAGCTGGGCTCCTGGCGCCCTCTGGCTCCCTGAGAGTGGAGGCCTGACCAGCAGGTCCCAAGAATACTCAGTGACTGTCTGCAAGGCCAAGGGCAGGGATGCCCAGGGTCAGCTGCTGAGACATTCAGAGGCCCCGGAGGCCCAGCCACTAAGAGGGCTCCACAGAGGGGTCTGCCCCTTGGGTTATTTTTTCTCTTTTTTGTAACAGCTTTACTGAAGTTTAATTTACACACTATACAATTCACCCCTTTAAAGTGTATAATTCAGTGTTTCCCCCCATATATTCAGAGTTGTATAACTACCACCACAATCATGTTTAGAAGGTTTTCATCACCCCAAAAGGAGACTGTCCTCATTAGCAGTCACTCGTCAACCCCCTCTCCCAGCCCCTCGCTCCCACTATCTGCTTTTTGTGTCTGTGGATTTGCCTGTCTGGACATGTCATAGAAATGGAATCACGTGCTATGTGACCTTCTGTGTCTGGTTTCCCTCCCTAAGCATGACATTTTTAAGTCCATTCGTGCTGTAGCATTGCTTCCTTTTCATGGCTGAGTACTATTCTGCAATATGATGGGCCACAACTTGTTTACCCGTTTGTCAGCCTGTGGACACTGGGCTGCTGCCCTTTTGGTGATGTGGATGGCACTGCTGTGAGCACACACGTACACCCTTTGGTTGTGGGGCCAGGTCCCCCGCCTGTCCGCCATCTCCTCTCCTGCAGGTGTGGGAAGCCTGTCTTTTCTCTGTCCCTGTCCCTACTGACTCCCAGTGGGCAGTAGGGGTGGGGAGGGGCTGAGCCAGGCCTGGAGTGTGCTTGGCTGGGCTGGCTGGGCTGTGCGAGGCCTGTGTGCATGTGCTGGGGTCAGAGATGTGCCCAGGCTGGCTGGCTGGCTGTCCACCCTCCCTGTCCAGGCTCAGGCCTCACTGGGTGTCCATGCCCTAGGCAAAGAGTGAGTGGGAAGGCACAGAGCAGAGATCGATGGAGGGCCTGGCCTGGTGTCGGAAGGAAGCCCAGGCATACCTGAGGGAGGTGCAGGAGACAGTGGGCAGCCTGCCCCAGCAGGTGGGTGAGGTCCCGGGTCACACCTCCCCTCCCCTGCTGGGCCCACCCTTAGCCACCAGCCCACCCCAGTCTCTGCTCTGTTTCAGATAGAAGCCATCTCTGACAGGTGCATCCTGCACAAGAGTGACTCAGACCTTAAGATCTCCGCTGAGGGCAAAGCCAGGTGAGGTGCAGCGCCCTCCCGAAGCCTGGCAGAGCCGTGGTCCCTGGGAAGGGAGCGAGCCCCACTGAGGCGACCGCCAGGACGGGGCTGGGAGGGCACGGCTGTCTCGGAACCAACCTGCTGCACCAGCGAAGCTTCTCTCAGGGGCTCCTCCCGGAGCTCCAGCACTGTGGCAGCCCTAACCCCTCCCTGCCCTTGGGGGCAGCCTGCACGGATCCCCGAGTCTTTCTCTCTGTCACACATTGGGGGCCCCCCAGCCCCCACTAGAGGGATGGCAAAGCAGAGCGCCCCTTATTCTGCTCAGAGCCTCCTCCCTCTACTCAACCTGCCCCTCACCCCAGAGCTCTCCTCGTCCCAGAGCCTGGCAGCTTGGCCTCCTGTACCCACAGAGAGTCTGAAGTTGGGGCCATGCGGCAGGAGCTGGCAGCTCTGCTGTCATCCGTGCAGCTGCTCAGGGAGGGCAACCCTGTGCGGAAGATTGCCGAGATCCAGGGCAAGCTGACCACGGTACCCTCTCAGGCCCCAGTGCCTGTCACACTCAGAAGAGGGGGGCAGCCCCCTATGGAGGGTTCCCCAGAGAGGTTCACAGATGTCCTGCTGGGGGACTCCCCATGACTTAGACTTTGGAAATTCCAAGTGGGGGCACACATTGGAGCCCCAAACGCTGGGGGCATCAGCAATCAGGGTGAAAGGAGAAGCCCTGAGCACTGGCTGGGTCCCACCTGATCACTGGGCTGAGTGATGCCCCCAGATCCCATCAAGGGGTGAGGTTGTCAGAGGTCAGTTCCTGCTCCGGGGGGTTGGGGTGGGGGCTGCTTCCATGTCTACGAACGGGGGCAGTATTTAGTTTCAGAACCAAATAATGAAATTAGAAAACAGCATCCAGGACAACAAGACCATCCAGAACCTCAAGTTTAATTCAGAAACCAAGCTGGTGAGAGGCTGCCCTGGGCTGGCAGAACAGGCCCTCCCCCTGCGGCTCCAGGGGCTCCCAGGCCTGGAGGGTGGGCTGCTTTCTCTGTGCAGAGCCTGGCTCCCAGCTCCCCCTCGCCCCTCCCAGCCTGCCCACCCCTCTATCTTCGGTCTCCCCTGTCATCCGTCTATCTGTCTGCGTGTCTGGCCTGAGCCAGCGTTTCCAGGCAGATAAGGCCCCAGTTGGCCCAGAGGAAGATAATCCTGTCTGCTGTCCCACCCCCTTGGTCCCATTCCTGCATTCCCACATCAGTTCCTCCTGCCCCTGCCGCCCCTGCCTCTGTCCCCAGCGCATGGAGGAGATGGCCACACTGAAGGAGTGCCTGATGCACCTGTGGAGTGAGGAGGGCCCGTGGGCCCTGACGCTGGGCAGCAGGAAGGTCCTCATGTCCCTGGTGAGACAGCAGTTCGTCAAGGATGTGGCCTCTGGTGAGGTGGTCCCCGTGAACCGCTGGGGCGTGTATCAGGCCGTGAGGTAAGCAGTGAGGAGCTGCCTCCAGGTCTAGGTTCGGGGCTGGGGGAGGCCCCAGGACAGTGGGCCATGAGCCATGTCTCCCGGCAGGTGGCTTCAGTGGAAGGCGGTCCTCATGAACCAGGTGGCCAAGCGGAGGCCAAGAACAGTCTTGGAGAGGTCCCTTGGCCAGGAGCCTGCCCGCCACCAGCTCACATTCTTGCCCCTTTCCCAAAAATAAACATGCCAGCTCCTGTATCTGTCAGAGCCTGGAACTCCCTCCAGGGGGTCGGGAGACTCAGGTGGTGGGAGTGACCAAGAGGATCCATCCTCAAGGCCTATCCACCCCCAGACTCCCAGGATGCCCTTCTCCTGCCCAAGCCCAGCTGAGCCCCAAGCCCAAGCATTTTCCTGGGCCTTCCCGCCAACAGGCACAGCAGCCTGGGATCCACACCCACTCCTATCAGGTTCCCCAGCAGTCAGGACAGCCCAGCCTCAGGATCTGTGCCTGTCAGCCATGCCCTTCACACCTGCGAGATGCCCAGCAGAGAAGCAGCTCTTCCTGCCCTAATCCAGGGAGCAAACAGTGTTTGTTCATGCACTCAGCAGCGCCCCTCCTCCTACCTCTCCAAGAAAACTTGGTTCATCTGGGTAGCTGGCCCTGCCACCTGCTTAGGGGCCTTGAGGAAGGGCCACCTGGGACCAGCCAGGGGGTGGGCAGTGGGAGGGTTTTCCTTGGGAATCCTGGGGGCTGGTCTGGATGGGCACAGTGCGTAGACCCCTTGAGCCCACAGCTCTCAGTGGCCACAGCTCCTGCCCTGTATCCCCTTCCTGTGGGCAGAGCTCTGAGGGCTAGAGGCCAGGGTGGCTGGGTCAGGTGCTGGGGCCTTCAGCGCCTGCCCTTTCCTGCCCTGGTGGCCTCTGGTGGTGGCAGCTCCAGGTCCCAGGATGAGTCCTACCCCCCTTCCTGGGCCTGGAAAGTCCCCCCCTAAGCTGACTTGTCCTTCTTGTGGCCACCTATCTTGGAGGGCCCTGCAGTCCCTCCCAGGACAGCCATAAGGAGATTCCAGACCCCTGCTGCCTCAGCTCACCCCTGCTGACCCTGGCCGGCTCACTAGGCCTCAGCCAGCTGCACCCCCTCCAGGGCCTGGGCGCCCCTGCCTGGCAGCTCTGGGCCGGCCTCCACTGACCAGCTAGCCAGCAGGTCACTGAAGTCGGGCGTCCCGGGGTGCAGCAGGCCCAGGGGGCTGGGTGCTGGCTCCTTCCAGAAGGAGGGGGGCAGATTCCTCTGGGTCATGGGGGTGATGTGGCCATACTTCTGCTCCAGCCTCAGCCGGTGGCCGGCTGACACCCTGGGCCCTGAGAACTGCCGCAGCCCATAGTCAAACAACTCAGCCAGGGGCCCCAGGGGCTGCACCCTTTCCCCGCCAATGCCTGCCTCATGCCCCTGCCGCTGGGGACCCCTGGGAGAGTGGACCCCAGGCTCAGCGCCCCTATCATCATTGGGGGACCTTCCCTGGGCCAGATGCACCAGGTCTGTGCAGTAGAGCTCCCTGGCTGAGCTGCTGGTGGAGCATCCATCAGCATAGATGTCACAGGCGTCTGGGTCCTGTCCCCTGTCCTTTCGGCCAAAGTACCTCTGGATGTCACCACTGATGAGCTCAGAGAACCGCAGCAGCTGCAGTGGCATCTCGGGGCTGCTTGGACCTGGAGGGGCCTCTTCTGGGGCAACTGGGGCCCAACCTGAGCTCTGGGGGACTGGGCTGTGGGCCCCTGGCCCCTCACCCGCCTGCTCCTCCTCTTCCTCCCCCTCCTCCTCTTCCTCCTCAGAAGTGTCTAGGGGCTCTGCGTCCAGGGGCAGGAAGGGCCGGCGGGAGGGCAGGGGCAGCTGGAAGTCACAGAGAGGCCGGATCACGCCCGCGGCCATGTCCTCCACGGAGATTCCGGGGCCCCTGGGGCAGCAGGCGCCTGCTGGGGAGGGCGGTAGAGGGGGGACAGGTTATCAGTCTGGGCCTGCACACCCCCCTGGTGGAACTGCACACTGTGGCCACTTGTTCTTGGAGAGGGTGCTGAGCTCAGAGGTGGTAACACTGGAAGAGATGGGGGCACCATGGCAGTGGGCATGGCAGGAGTGGGTGGGGAGAACCTGCGCAGTGCAGGCCGAGGGTTAGAGCAGCCAGGGGCCTGTGGGATGGTCGTGGGCCCTGTGAGCAGTGCACCCTGAAGGGTGGTGAGCGGGGAGGGTGATGACAGGCGGTGCCACTGGAATAGTGGACTAGGGGAGAGAAGTCGCAGAAGAGAGAAGCAGGGGAGGTGTGAGGCAGCCTCCCAGGGGCCGGGGTGAGAGTGGGGCCCTGGGGAGCAGAGCCCTTGTCCCAGTGTGGGGTTTCTATGACTCGTGATAAAGAGGGTCGCTGAGGTGGCGTCTGCCCAGGTGCTGGGCAGGGGACCCCTTGGCCCTTCACAGGAGTATTGGGTTGGGAGCTTCCCACCATCCCTGAGATGCCCACACTGAGCCAGGGAGCTGTTGGGGTCCAGAGCCTTTGCAGTTTTGGGGGTGTTCAGAGCCAGTACCATTTCTCCCATCCCGTCCTGTCTAATTCTCATAAGTGCAGCCACAATCCCAGGCTTTCATTTGTTCCCTGTCAGGGGAGCAAGGAGCGAAGGAGACAATGCTTCAGGGTTTGGTGGGGTCAGCAGGAGGCAAAAAGGCCTGTGGACCTCCTCTTGGCTGGGCCTTGAGAGGATGGGGAGGGGATCTGTGGAGGAGACCGGTCAGGGGTGCCTCTGGCTCTCCCCTT